ATATTTTAATTTTAAATTATATAATAAATAAAATATATTTTTTCATTTTTTAAAAATTATTAAAATTATGCATTATTAAAATTATAAATTATTAATTAAGTTATTTTATTTAATAAGTTATTAACTAACCAGTCAGATTTTATTATTAAATTAAAATGATTTTTCTAAATCAATACAAATAAAACTTTATTTTATACACAAATTTATTTTAGTTATATTAATAATATTTTATTTTAAAATTACATAATAAATATAATATATTTATACATTTTTTAAATAAAAAAGGGACAGGCCAAATTTTTAAAACGAAAAAAAGTAAAAGAGGTTTGCTTGGAATTCAGATTCCTAGGAACCAAATTTCGACAGCCACTGCAACATCAGGAAACCACTGTGCAGGTCAAAATTTGGCTCTCCGGGGACCAAATTCCGACCATGCACAATAAATAAGTATACTGACAACATATATATACATTTCGGTAGCTTACTCATCGGAACTTCACTGTTAAGCGTGCTTGATCTGGAGTAGTACTAGGATGGGTGACCTTTTGGGAAGTTTCCTAGAAATTGCACAAGTAAGGATAAAACACGCTAAACAGTGAAATATTGTGAAATAGAACCCTTAAGAGGTCAGATATGAAGGTTGTTACATTAATAAATTTATTAAAATTAAAAAAATTATAATTTTCTACGAAAAATTCTGTTGAAAAATTTCGTCGAAAATTTCAATAAGAAATTTTCGACGGATTTTCTGGAATTTTTTGTAGGAAATTTCCGACGGATATTTCTGACAGAATTTTCTGACGGAAAAATCCGTCGGAAATTTCCTTCGGAAAAATTATTTCCAACGCCACTTTTTCCAACAGATTGAAATCCGTCGGAAAAAGAAAAATTCGTCGAAAATTTACCTATTTCCGTCGGAAATTTCTGTCGAAAATCAGCATTTTTCTTGTAGTGATTTATCTTTATTAATAAATCTTAGAAGAATACTACGATATAGTTGAGGGTCTTCTTGTTTAGTTATGTTATACAGGGAAATGTGTAGAGCTATATATGTTACGAGTAGAACAATGGGTGGTTATGCACCACTGTTACAGCTTTGGGCATGACATCATATGCCATATATTACACCAATTTCCAAAGTACCACCAACATTCCCTTTGGCCTGCAAATGGAGCGGGAGTAGAGTACTCAACTTTTGAAATGTACTTCACAATAATGTTGTGGGTATAGATCAATGTTTGATCACATTCAGGTTGATCAGGTAAATCTTCATAACAAAGTTTTAATTATTTCTTTTGTTTTACATACTATCTTAAGTAACAAAGTTTAATTTATTTGTAGTTTTTATGGGCTCCATATCAAGGCTTGCAAACATCAATGCCCAACTATGGACTTCATGTACACCCCCATAATTTGTTTTGCAATTGTTGAATGGCACCAATCGGATAGAGTGAAATTACAATTTGGTCTCTTTCAGGATGTCCCTTCTCCACCCAATAATTTGGATAACCTACACAAGATTGACATGAGGGGAAGACAAGATGAAAATTGAGTTACAATACATGCTCAATGGATCAACATATGGAACAATAGACATGAGCACACATTAATGGGTCATCCAATACAAGGCCAATTGTTTCACACATGAGAATACATGGAATGATACTTGGCCAATTTCATCTATTTCCTATCTGTGTCACGACTACTACAAGATCTAAAGACTCGCCAACAATGAAGGACTAGAGCTACAACATTTAAAACTAGTGCGACTTCCATGCCCTCATATCACGAGACTCACCAACATGTATCAAATCCTCCGCACAACATGACACCACAAGCAAATGTAATTCACATAAGACATTTATTTGCAACAACTTCAGAGAATTTCTTTACATACTTATTTGGAGTAGATTTTACAACTCCATCTTCAACACAGTCATACATGCAATCTCTTTACCAACCAGATTTTGCTAATAAACCTGGTAGTTCCTTAGTTGGGTTCTAACAACCAGTCCTTAATGATGATCCAAATCCTGTAGAGCAACAACCACTACGACATAATCCTGGACGTAACAGACGTCACCCTCGTTGTGGAACCGAACACCATTATGAAAATTAAAAGGCTTATGTAATTCACTTTCTCTTAACGTAATATTCACTCTATCTTAATGTTATGAATTTTTATTTTTAATGCACTATCTCTTTATGAATGTAATATTTAAGTTATTAATATTATCAATTATTAAAATTATGCCATGTTCGAGATTATCGATATCAGATACATATCTGATACAGATAGAAGAAGAAAATGCAAGTATTGGTGCTTCATTGGCAACAACAACAAGTGTGCACTTAATTGTTCCCTAAAAATGAATTTTCTGATTGTGTTAGAAAAGCCTTATTCAGCTACATCTTTGTATGATTAAGGAAATAATCCGATAAGGAAAATCAAGGCAGACTTTATGGAAGAATGCAATACTTACCGAGCCTTCAGCTATGTCAATACCAACATAATATCCAACTTTGGCCTTGTCCCATTTGATAAGATCACCACCCTGGTAAACATTATGAAACAAAAAAGGATGCTTAGCCAAGAAGCTGGGAATGACTTTTGGTGTATATAAACACAACTGAAAAATTCCGTGGGCATACAGTGAGGAAACACATGATAAACACAAATAGTTTGACATGATAAGGTATACAACGTTTCATCATGCAAATTAAAGAAATTCATGATTAAAAGTCACAAGTTTACACACACAATCACCATCGCTCCCGAAGCAATAAAAGAAAAAAGTGATTATGTCAAAATATAAAAGATGATGGTGAAGTTAATAAAAAAAATGAGATAAAAAATTATTACTATGTGAACTAGGAAGTCTAAAGGATGAAGAAAGAACTAAGACAGGAAAAAAATGTGTTTTTGAAGCCTATATAATGGTAGCGTCACTATAGCATGTGAAAAAACCGCTATTGCGGCCTCAATGGGTGCTATTGAAACTGCTTTACTATTTGAATCCCATAGCGGTACAAGACATCTCCACTTTGCTACCCACTATAGCACCACTAACCCACACTATTGACTGCCATGTTCGAGATTATCGATATCAGATACATATCTGATACAGATAGAAGAAGAAAATGCAAGTATTGGTGCTTCATTGGCAACAACAACAAGTGTGCACTTAATTGTTCCCTAAAAATGAATTTTCTGATTGTGTTAGAAAAGCCTTATTCAGCTACATCTTTGTATGATTAAGGAAATAATCCGATAAGGAAAATCAAGGCAGACTTTATGGAAGAATGCAATACTTACCGAGCCTTCAGCTATGTCAATACCAACATAATATCCAACTTTGGCCTTGTCCCATTTGATAAGATCACCACCCTGGTAAACATTATGAAACAAAAAAGGATGCTTAGCCAAGAAGCTGGGAATGACTTTTGGTGTATATAAACACAACTGAAAGCCATCAACACCTTGCCACAGGCGAGGTCAAGTACTGCATCTCCTCGACGAGCATAAAGCTGAATTAAGACGCTCTTAATCTGTTAAATGACAAAATTGACAAAGCAATTAATCAGTGATCACATAAAAGTACTCCATGGAAAACAAATCATATATTACAGAATACAACACATACCCAGTTATTGAGTTTCTTCAAATGAATTATAGGACTAGCCTCTCGTTCTTCCAAAGTCTGGTTGGATCTAGCGCTGTAATGATCAGCTACTTTCCGAGCAAAAATCTTTGTGCTTTCGTCCTCAAGAAAGTGTGCACCACCTAAATACAATGCATCAGATGAAAATTAGCACCAGAACCACAATCCCTTATGATCTTGCCACAAGCAATTGCAGTTGCGGTCACATTATGATTCCTGATATTACACAAAATTGCAGACAAATGCACTTAATGCAGCTGCAACTGTGGTTGTAGACCATTTTTTAAACCTTGATAAGCAGATAGAAAGCCTCCACTTCCCACAATTGAATCATACAAATACTTTACACGCAGAAACTTAGTATCACAAAACTCGTGTGAACTTCATTAACATTAATTCAGCAAGGTTCACTGTAATATTGTTTTTATCAAATATGCTAGCAACGTTGCTTGTTCATTACGCAGTCAAACCAAACCTCTACGTTTAACTTCAATCCCAAACTGCAACCCAATATTACAAAACTAGGGTGCTCTACCATTCTCATCAAATGCTAATTGTCAACTCCATTCTATTGTTAATTGTTAACTTTAACACCATTCCTCCACTTGAAAATTCAACCAACCTAAAGTGTCCAAAACCAAGGAACCCCAGATTAAGATCACCACCCTGGTAAACATTATGAAACAAAAAAGGATGCTTAGCCAAGAAGCTGGGAATGACTTTTGGTGTATATAAACACAACTGAAAGCCATCAACACCTTGCCACAGGCGAGGTCAAGTATATATATATAATATTATATATGAAAAAAATTCACATATTGATTGTTTTGAAATAATAGATATTTTTGTGAAATAGTAACATTATTCGTAATATTACTACTTTTAATAGTTACATATAAGTTTATATAATATAGAAAAACAGGATGTTTGTGATGGGTATGTGTAGGATGTAATAAATCCTCATCGAATTCTCATCGAATTTCATTTTTTCATTATAAGGTACTCGCATATGTTCTGTATTACTTTGAGTAATACTCCGCTAGTTGAGTGTCAGGTTCTCCAATTGATTGACCTGCAATAATACCTATAGCTTCTCCTAATTCCACCAAGTGGCCATGAGTATGACTTTGGCCATAACATAATCGGCAGATCCAAGAAGTATTCCTACATATAAAGGGGGTTCTAATAGATATTGATTGTGTTTTGAAAGGTTTTAAATTGATTAATAAGTCCAATTCCAATATCTTGATTTCTAATGGCGATGCATCGCGAACCACTATATATATCATCTGCTAATACACGACCTATTAATGTTTGTATCCAAATTCTTTCTGGTATCATCCCATTCTTCGTATTCACCAAAATTCCTCTAAAGGTACCACAATCTATTTGAAATACAACAATGTGTCAAACTACTTCAACAAGCTGGCGCATAAGATATCCAACATCTGATGTTCGTACAACAATATCTACAACCCCTTTACGGGCTCCATAACAAGAAATTAAATATTTTGCTAAAGATAGTCATTCGCGTAAATTGCTTTAAATAGGTAAATCATCATTTGTCCTTGTGGGTCTAACATTAATCATCAGATACCTATTAATTGGTGTACTTGAGATACATTTCTTTTAGTTCCCGAAGAAGACATTATATGGACTTGATTAAAGGGGTTGGTCATCTTAAAATTAGGATTCATTTCTTGACGCAAATATTCACTTGTAGCATAAGATATCTCAATGGATTGATGTAATTTTTCTACCACATATACATTCCCATAATGATGATGTTTTTTTTCTTCCCAAAATCAAGCTTTGTTGTTAAACATCTGGGACTAGCCACCCTTTAGAAGGTATTGTTAAAAGGTCATCAATGCCTCATGAAATGAATGTAGTTGTAGCTTGATTGAATTCCAGAGTTTTTACTTGATCCAAGATATGTGATGTTTATGTAATTTCAAAGTGATCTATTAATTTGCTAATAAGTCGTTTAATGGTAGTTTCGCCTATCACTTTATTGTTAAAGACTAGATTGGCCAATTCTTCCATAAGTATTTCCATCTTCCACTTAGTGGGATTCAGTTCAAAAATAGGTTTGAGTCAATGATTTGAAAACTTCCTTTTCATCTTGATTTGTATAGAAATTGTAAAACTATGATCCTAATTAAATTGGGAAGACTTGAATTTAAAATGATATCTTAAATTTGTTTATCTTAGTTATCAATCATCTATATGATTAGATATCATATGAGTAGGATTGGAAAAAACCTTGTATAGCTTATTCGATTTCTCGATAAAAAGAAATATGACCAACAATGGTTCGAATGTATATAGAACAAATTTTTTTTTTGTACTTCTTACTACCAGATAATGCCCATAAATTTCATGATAGGTACCAAAAGATTTGTAGTGAATTTCAGTATTTACTTCTCTTGACGAAATAATGCGTTGATCTAGTTGCCACCGGAGCCATAAAGGACTATTGAAGTTTATTCTTTTCTGTTGATAAGCTCCAATTGCATCATAAGAATTACAAAAAAAAAAGGATCTTTTTTGTATATTTATATTATTATCTCGAATTCTTTCATTTTTATAATTTATGCAATTCCATGGATTATACCTATTTGAATAAATACCTTGGCGATTTCCATTCATTAATGCGTAAAGTCTAATAAACATATCTTGAGTTGGTATAGAAATTGGATCCAAAATAGCCAGAGACAAAAGGTTTGCATATGAAAACATAAGTAAACGAGTTTCTGCTTGAGCTTCTAAAGATAAGGGCACATGAACAGTCATTGATCCCATCAAAGTCTACTACCTGACTAGAAAGAGGGGGATTGTCATCCCTCAGACCCAATCTTGGCTCAAGATACTGATCTCCCAAGGTTAGTACTCACAAGGCGCTCCTAGAAGACGAATGAAAGAGATGTTAAATCCCTTACAAAAATAAGATGTTTCTATTTTCTTTCTTCAAGAATTTATGATCTCTAGTAGAGCTCTCAGTAGGATTTGAACCCAGATGAAGTTCTAACCATAAAAACTAGTATTTTAATTGAGATTAGATTTATGAATGAAATAAAATATTGTTGGAATCTTAGTTATTAATTGTTAGTTATTTATAAGATAATTCAAATTAATACGAACAAAAAAAATATAGAGTATCAAATCCAATATTTAATATTTATTTGATTTAGTACATAATATAGTATATAACATGAAGTGCAAGATAAAGGATAATTAATTAATATATAATATTTCGACAGATGTATCAAATTATATAATCTATCTATATATAGATAGATAGAATATAGAATACTATTATAGGATACTAGTATTTAATATCAATAATAGTATTTAGTAATAGTATTTAGAATTAGAATAAAATATTCTAATTTTTTTAGAATGTATAATAATGTAATGATTAAATTATACTTTAAATTCAAATATGTCAATATGAGATCTTATTTCAATTCGATACGTCCACCTGCGAGACTAACCTTTGGCTTTCATCTCGGTAGGTGTATTCTTATACATTTTCCCTAAAGAACATTCATTCTTTCTTTCTTCCCCATCAACCACGACAATTGAAATGATGCAAAAAAAATCTAAAAACATAAGCCTCCCTGTCATCCACATTAGAATAAATGAAGTTTTCCGAAAAAATTTGCTAGTAGAGGAAGACCTCCTAAGGATAAGAGACATAAGGCTAAAGAGAGTACCAAAAATGGACTTTTCGTGTATAAACCTGCATAATCTCGAATGTTATCAGTTTTGGTACTTAGACCAAATGATATAAAACAACATATAAGTTATCATGCTTGCATATCCATTATTTGAGTCTCAAACGGGATATTCCAATAATTAGATATCTGATTTGACCTATGGTGTAACAGCCCATTTTTTTTCATGGGCCAAAGGCCCAATTCGCGGCCCGAAACGGGCCGTTTCAAAATTGAAACGGGCCGTTCCGGAATATTTAGAATGCCTAAAATGTATAAGCAGAACGGGCCGTTCCAATTAGAGAACGGGCTGTTCTGGTTTGGAGAACGGGTCGTTCTGGAAGCAAAACGGGTCGTTCTGCTGGGTTTGAGAATGGGCCGTTCTGGTTTGAGAACGGGTCGTTCTGATTTTAGAACGGGCCGTTCCAGTTGAGAAATTTACGTAGGTTTGAAGGGCCCAGAACGGGCCATTCTGCTTTTAGAACGGGCCGTAGTGGTAGGTGAGCCAGAATTCCTATAAATAGGGGGCTTCACTTCTCATTTTTCACACACCTCTCATTCTCATTCTTTCTTCTCTTCTGTTCTCTCTTCTTTCCCTCTCCTTCTTTCTGAAGACCAAGAGGAATCTAGAGGAGGAGGTTCTACCCTAGTTTTAGTTCCGGTCCCTGTTTAAGGAAAAGAGGAGGAGGTTCTGCCCTAGTTCCTATTTATCCAGGTACGGGGGAAAAAGGGATTATTTATATGTAGAGTTACATGAGGGAATTGGGTAGAGGAAGAACCCTTAGGGTTATGAATAATTTATAATTATTTCTGTTTGGAGAATTAATTGTCTTATGTGATTCTGTATATCTTTAAGACTACGAATATATGATTTATTTGTAAAAATGATGCTCTGGAAGAGAGAACGAAATTATAGGAAAGTGCCTGTAAGTTAGGTTGTGAAAAATTGGATGATTTCTGTTTGAGGAATTGATGATCCCATTAGATTTTGTATATGTTGAGGATTATAAATATGCTAATAATTTGTAAGAATGATGATCTGGGAGAGAGAACGAAATTGTAGAAAAGTGCCTGTGAGCTAGGTTTTGGAACAATTGGGGATTTTACTGTTTATGTTAAAATTATATTAAATTGATAATTCTATTGTTTATTATATTAATTTATGAATGTTATTATATTATTTAATAAGAATTGATGATTTAAATGTGAATTGCTTGAGGGATGTGTAAATCCTTATTTTGTTAGACTTATCTGTTGTGTATGTGATATGGAATTGTGTATGTGATATGGAATCGTGATATGAGATGAGATGTTGTATGGACATGATTAAGAATGTGATTGCGATGTGTTTCCTCACACTAATGACTAGGGATGGCACGGCCCCTGGGTAAGTGGTGCT